GGCTACTACATATTCTACGAAGATCTTTATCGGTCAGACCGCATAAGAACATACATCGTTCCCTTTGTCATCGGTATGTTACTTGCCCGAGATTCGATCATCGGTATCTCAATACCTAGTTCAATCTCGTTACCGGCAAGTCTCTTTACTCGTTCTGTAATACATCATCCCACAACTAACTCATTAGTTGCAATGCTTGCAAGGCTTAAGTGATGTGCATTACCGAGAGGGCCCAGAGATACCTCTCCGACAATCGGAGTGACAAATCCTAATCTCGAAATACGCCAACCCAACATGTACCTTTGGAGACACCTGTAGAGCTCCTTTATAATCACCCAGTTACGTTGTGACGTTTGGTAGCACACAAAGTGTTCTTCTGGCAAACGGGAGTTGCATAATCTCATAGTCATAGGAACATGTATAAGTCATGAACAAAGCAATAGCAACATACTAAACGATTGGGTGCTAAGCTAATGGAATGGGTCATGCCAATCAGATCATTCAACTAATGATGTGATCCCGTTAATCAAATAACAACTCTTTGTCCATGGTTAGGAAACATAACCATCTTTGATTAACGAGCTAGTCAAGTAGAGGCATACTAGTGACACTCTGTTTGTCTATGTATTCACACATGTATTATGTTTCCGGTTAATACAATTCTAGCATGAATAATAAACTTTTATCATGATATAAGGAAATAAATAATAACTTTATTATTGCCTCTAGGGCATATTTCCTTCAATAATCCAGAGGGCCCTTGTAGATATTCTGAAATTGTTAGATGGACCCTAGGCCCACCCTAATATTTCAACACTAAAACCCTAAAAATACTTTCTTCAATTTATTTACTTTTATTTTCCTATTTATTTTATCTATTTACCACTATCAGATTTAATCCTTGCAATTGGTGAGAACAAGGGGGTTGACAACTCACTTGCTGTTGTTGGGTGCAAGCATTTGTTTAGTGTGTGTGCAGGTACCATTTATCTTGTCTGTGTGACATCTCCTATTGGTTCGATAAACCTTGGTTCTTAACTGGGAGAAATAGTTTTTTCTACTACACTACCTCACACTTCCTTTTTGGGGAATCCCAACGCCTATTACAAGTAGCAGAGCTTCCTACTGGATTGATAATCTTGGTTCCCTAACCAAGGGAAATGTGTTGCTGCTGTTCTACAACACCCTTCCTCTTTGGGGGAATCCCAACAACTCCTACAGGAGTCAGCAGCGGACGCCCTGACAGCTTTGCCCACCATTGATGAACAAACAATTGTATATTAGTGACACCACGCGACCAAGGGTGGCCGCGTCCCACATGGACCCCCGTTCGTGCCCTAACAGTGTTGCCCGCCACTGATGAACTTTTAGCGCCTGCCACTGCTAGGCAGTTTTGCTGTAGTGACACCACGTAACCAGGGGATGACTACATGGTCTCCACTGGCCCCATCTTCTGGCTCCATGGGTATTTCATCGGAAATGATTTTTGGGTTTTGTTTGCTATTTACTGAGCTCTGGAAATTTGCTTTCTTTGTTGCCATCATGTTTCTCCTATTTTTGAGTGTTCTGGTAATTTCCCTCTCCGTGTAGTTCATACAATTTAAAGGGGAAAGGCATTATAATTTAGGAATAATGTGCAAAGCATCAATAATAAAGAGGAAAATATAATAAGAAAGAGTGATGCAAAATGGACGTATCATCGAACACTCAATACGAAGGGTAACACCACATTAATGTTACACAAGGCACTTTCACTATTTACCATCAACTGAACCTCTCCACACCTAACCTCTCCATTATAGGAAACACCGTTTACCTTATGCTTTTTTTACTTTTATGTTATTTAGTTGCAATTCTCTATTCTCTTGTTTTGTTACTTTCCATTACAAACACCTTTTCACCATGGCCATCTTAAGTCTTGCGGATACCATACTTATCAATTCACTCGAGACTAGTGACACCTCAAGTGTGACAGAAACATTCATCATAACACTCGCCTACCCACTTCCTTGGAACGATATACAAACTGGGATACTTCTGCCAAAGTGCACTCCAACTAGCCATGTGCACTTGTCTGAGATCAACATTTATGGTCAATCTTTTTGTTAGTATATTTTATTACTCTGGAAGTAGGTATTAGTTGTTTTATTTTTGTTGATATATACATTGTTTCACATTTTCCTGACATCTCAATGTGATGATTATTTTCTTTTTATATACCACTAAACATTACATATTTCAAGACGTTACATGCATTTTGAATAAGAAGTTGTGTTTGAATATGAAGTACATTGAATTCTCCAATTGTGGGATATTTTTGTAAATTTGTTTTTTTAGATTTTTTAATTGACTGCAAAGCTTATTCCGTTTACCACTTCAATTGCGTTTGTACCGGCTAGATTTTTAAGCATATGCTCAGTTTGACAACCTGATAATTTGACTAGGAAACGAAAGCGAAGCCATAACCTCAGATTGTGGTGAGGTGAGGCGCCGTGGCGCACACCATCCTCCTGTGCAGCCTCTAGTTCATCTTTGTTGCAACCAAAGAGGTGCAACGCTTCTCGTCCGTCTTCATCATGATCGAACAGATGAAGGTGCTATATCTGACTGCTCCCAATTTTTTCTTGGCTGATGAGGTTGTGGCGGCAAATGAGCATTAGAAATTTGGGAAGTAATCGAGAGGCTCCAACGGTTGAATCTGGATTGTCAAAAGAAAGGTAATTATTAATATGACTAGATCCGGCCGGAAGTGCATATTTGTGCTACGGTTGGCCCCGGATTACACTATACCAAATGTTGATATTCGAATTTCATAGTATCATTTGATAAATTAAAGTAGTCGATCCGCCCAACATCAATAGGAGCTTCATGGCCTAGATAAGGCACATTAGTATAGTTTTCTATTACACTTAATAAAAATAGTAAAATATAACATTATTATTACAAAGTTTGATCTCATCATGACATATTGTGAATACAGTTAGTTTGGATTATTTTAACAAAGTTAAATCAATTTTTGATATGTTATCTCTTCAAAAGCATTTCACTAAATTTTATTTCCCTAGTTCCAAGAAGACTAAAATTGAAAAACTACAACTCTTGGTGGATAAAATTGTGGACTCATGGAGAACAGTGTATATCAATGTGCTTTGGCCCGTTTTAACATCCCTACATATCTTGTCCGGGTGCTAAAAGGTAGAATCTAACAATTATCTAAAAGAAGGTTTCAAGAGTATACAATAGTTTATCTTGAATGTATGTATACTTTTATTTGAAGTTCAAGATTTTCCATATTAGGTTTAGTGGCAAATTCTAGAGAATAAGGGATGTTTATAGGACTAGACTTGGTTGTATTTGCAATCACACATTACTCTTTTCATGATTAACTACACGTGAGTCTTTTTTTGTCTTATTGTACCAAAGGGTTTCTTATCATGTGTAAGACAACACTCAACATATGGAAATATTTGGTGTACGGTTTTTTAGATTGATTCAAGGGTTAAACTTTGATGGCACACTCAACATATCCTAATGTCTGCCCTCGTTCACAACCATTTTCTTTCGCTTTGTCAACAACAAGTTGTGTTTGTGTAGTTGATATTGAGAAACATGAAGGCGCATCGAGCGATAATGAATGGGAGGCAGTGTGTAGATGTATCATATATCCGAACATAAATACATCATTAACTGTTTACATATTTGAAACAATGTCTTTCTTTTTGTGAGGATAAATTTTGATTTATTCATCAACTGTCAAAGTAGATATACGTCCATAGACCACCTAGCGACATCTGCTAGCACTTGAGTGAGTCGAAGGCGTGCCGCCGTCTTCGCCCCACCCTCATTGGAGCCAGGCAGACCTTTTTGTAGTAAACAGTCAGGAGGTCGTCGTGCTAAGACCCCATAGAACCAGCGCACCAGAACAACAATCGTCGTCGATGAAAGGAAGCGTAGATCGGAAGGATCCAACCTATAGACACACGAACACAGACGAGCGAAGACAGGATCCACATGGATCCATTGAAGACAAAGGCCGACCGAATCCCGCGAGATCCGCCGAAGATAAATCTTCACACGCCACCCGACGATGCTAGAAACACCAACAGGACGGGGAGTAGGAGGGAAGAACCTTATTCCATCTTCAGAGAGCTGCTGCCGCCTCACCTCTCTGAGTAAGACACAAAGCCTAACAAAACTCAAAAGAGCAAGAAAAAAATGGAGCCCTCCTGTCGGCAAGGGCCAGGATCCACCACGCCTACATGGCCCTAAGACCACAGGAGATGAGGTAGACCGATGGCGGCACCTGTGGGAGGCACAAGAAGCCCTAGCCAAAGGGTCCTCTTTCTTGGACGGGAAGAAAGGAAACGATCCCCCACTATACAATGTCTTCTTTGTGTAAATGTTGTATGCATTCATAGACACACAACATCAAATATTTGTAGTACATTTCATCCGTTAAAAGATAATAATGAAAAAGGAAACATGCTACCGCATATCAAAGTCGAAACCATGCGTTGGCAAGACTACCTCCAACAAGATGCGATATATCACACATTTGGTCCAGGAAGAAAGATGGTCCGAAAAAAGAAGAAAAAACTATTAATATAAGTGTTAGGGTCCACATCACACAAAGGTAGTACACTACTACCTTCGACCCGGCAAAACCCGTCAAACTTTCGAAACTCCGTGTGCTAATGTGTTTTCAAATGTTTAGGAAACCGTACAAATGAATTTTTTTTAGAATCTACTTGCAAAAAATAAATCATTTTTTTGAGGTAACCCTATAAAAAAATAATATTTAGGAACTTCCGACATGATTTTTTTGTTGCAAGTAGAGTAGATTCTTATATTTTGGTAGGACTACATCGTAGTCAAAGTCCTTAGCAGCCTCGGGTGTTGACTAAAAAAAAAGCCCCTGGCTTTGGGAGGCTATTTCCCTCGCGAATCGCGATCTCCCCCTTCCTCACTCCCTCCTCCGCCGCGGAACTCACCTTCCCTCAATGGCGACGGAGGCGCAGGCGCAGTGGGTGCTGACGGCCACGGGGCGGTCGCCGACCAATATCGCGGTGATCAAGTACTGGGGGAAGCGGGACGAGGCGCTCATCCTCCCCGTCAACGACAGCATCAGCGTCACCCTCGACCCCGACCACCTCTCCGCCACCACCACCGTCGCCGCCAGCCCCGCCTTCCCCTCCGACCGCATGTGGCTCAACGGCAAGGTCTGCCCCCTTCCCTTTCTTCCACCGCTCTCTTCTTCTTCTTCTTCTTCCCTTTCCCTTTCCTTTTCCTCACGCTCGCCTCGCCTCCCCCCATTGCCCTCGCCACCGCCGCCGCAGCCGCCGCCGCCGAGTGCTCCTTCCTGCAGTGATCCGGTGGATCGCGAGCTCGAAAGAGTTCTGTTTTAGGGGGAAATCCAGCAGGAGCACGCCGATTTGGGCTTCGGGCCTGTGCCAGTCGCCGTTCTGATTTGGGATTACTGTAGTGAAATCGGCTGCCCATATGATTAGATCTGGATCAGGACCTGCTTGAAATCTCGCTGCATTTGGATAGACAGTCGGCGCAGCTCTGAAAATTTGTTTTTTCGACAGAAGCCAAAAGACACCTTTTTCTGTTTGTTAATGTTGTCTACAGTTAGCATCTATTCCTACTAGTATATTGCTGCCTGCGTCATGCTGGGATGATGGACCAATAGGAGTAGTTAGTTCTACATCAGGTCTTTAACTGGATGTGGTGTAACGCAATTGCAAGAAAAAGAAAAACAAATTATTGTCTGCTTGGATGGCAGTGTGATCTAATCGTCCGTTTGGTGTGGAATCGAGCAGGAGATTGCGTTGTCGGGCGGGAGGTTTCAGAGCTGCCTGAGGGAGATCCGGAAGCGGGCTCGTGACGTCGAGGACGAGAAAAAGGGGATCAAGATCAAGAAAGAGGACTGGGAGAAGTTGCACGTCCACATAGCGTCGTACAACAACTTCCCGACCGCCGCCGGTTTAGCCTCTTCAGCTGCTGGCTTTGCTTGTCTTGGTAAGTCTCCTGGTTCTGATGCCATGGCTATTTGTCAGAAAAACAGATGTGTGACTAAAACTGTGGATATTTCGGGTTAGACTTGGATTTCATTTTGTTTTCTGCTCTTCTGGACCCACCTCGGTTGTGTTTAGTAGCAGAGGGGGTGTATTTCTTATTCTCTTATAGAATTGTTCTCTTGCTGATGCAATCTGCAAACATTCGTTGTTGAGGGTGATACAAGTATTTCTGCTACAAGTGGACTGTTATCCTAGCAAAAGCTGTTGCTCTTACCTTTTGAATACACCTCCCTGTGCTATTCATGATAATAGGACAATATTATGGTTTTCTAACTGTCACCTAAAATTGTCCTGGATCCTGCTATTAAGGTTGTCCAACTTATCTGCAGTTTGTTCTTTATTATCTGGTTGTATAGAGGCAAAAAATAAAATAAAATAAAATAAGACGCAGAAGCTATGTTTAGTCCTGGCCTGCTGGTTAATCTTTGCAATAAATCTGCTAGCCTTGCAAAAAAAATGGCTGGTCTTACCAAGTTCCATGATAGTGCTAATATCTGGTCCTGAGTGTTGTTTTGCCCTGATTGAGTACCACTGCTCAGCATGCTTGCTTTCTACAAATATTGATTACTTTATTCATAGCTTGGAAGGTTGATAACGCTATCCAACACAAAATGATTGTCCACTACTACTTTTATTTTTTGCTCATAAACATACCAAGCAAGGTCTTGCTTTCATACCAATATTACAGCACAAATTAGTAATTTGAATACTGTTTGTAGTTTTCACCCTTGGAAAGCTAATGAATGTGAATGAAGATTATGGAGAACTTTCTTCAATAGCAAGGTCTGTACTCTATACTGATACATTATGTAGCAACACTCTGTTTGTGCTCTATCCTGTTTGTGATGTTTGCTTGATGATATAGAAACAGTTTTACTTCATTTTACTAAATAATAAGCTAGTGTACTTATGTCCCCTCTTTACTTATACTTCTCTCGGGCTGACAAATTTCAATGCAGGCAGGGGTCTGGAAGTGCATGCCGCAGTATATATGGTGGATTTGTGAAATGGTGTATGGGGAAAGTAAGTTATCTCTTGGTTAAGGCAGAGAAGCCGAATTGGTTAAAATGCATGTTTTTCTATTGTAAAACGATTGAGTTTGACTCTATACTTGTAGAATGATGATGGAAGTGACAGTATGGCAGTACAGCTTGTTGACGAGTCGCATTGGGATGATCTTGTTATAATCATAGCAGTGGTATGTCAATGTGATCTCTGTTGTATAACATGATCTGTTTCATTTAACTTATCATTGGATATTGCTCATCGAGTCATGGTTCCATTAACACCAATCCTTAACTACATAGTGACACCGATTTACCATTTTTATCCCAACATCTTTTTCTTATTATGATGCTTTGTGGAATTAGGTCAGTTCAAAGCAGAAGGAAACCAGTAGCACCAGTGGGATGCGGGACACTGTTGAAACAAGCCCCCTCTTGCAGTACAGGGCCCAGGTGATTGCATTTTCATCTTTAACTTGTTTTTGGCACATATTGTACAATTTTTTTACGAATAATCGAGGGAACAAAATCATGAAGCTGCAATTCTGATTCTGAATTGTAGTTTTATCCCTCCTCTTGTGTGGACCCTCAAGTTTTGTGGTTTCATTTTTTTATCAAGTCTGTTAGCAGTTATACTGATCTATCTCTTTAGCTGCAGCTTACTGTTTCTTGCTCTCACTGTGCACTGCACTACTTTTTCTTGTATTCCAGACTGTAGTGCCAGGTCGCATATTGAAAATGGAAGAGGCCATCAAGAAACGTGATTTTGAATCCTTTGCCAGGTTAACTTGTGCAGATAGCAACCAGTTTCATGCTGTATGTTTGGACACGAGTCCTCCCATCTTCTACATGAATGATACGTCACACAGGTAGTTTTTTAGCAGTCCTGATTTTGTGGTTCTGTTAGTACTGAAATCCCAGAGTTGAGGATCGCTCTTTCAACCAACTGCAGGATAATTAGCCTTGTGGAGAAGTGGAACCACTCAGAAGGAACCCCACAGGTATATTCTTTTCCTGTTTAACACTTGCTACCTTGTTTTCAATTCTTCTGAACTGCATCGGTGCTGCATATAGGGATCTAAAATAAGGTTGGTTAAGCTTTGTTATGACATGCCAGTACAATAAGTTTTTACTGCACTTGATAAAACATATTTAACTAGCATCACATGATGAAGTAATTTTACTTAATTTAAAAGAGCAACAAAATTATTGCCATCTTTCTGAAAAAGATCCCGGAAATACGAGTTTATGCTTATGCTTTATGCTTCCAATCCTTTGGTTTTTAGGGGCTGTTTGGATGGCAGCTCCAAGCTGCCCTTCCAAAATTTTGGTCGTTGACCACAGGTTGGGCCAGCGTTTGGATCGCAGCCAACTTTTTGGCCAGCCGTTGTGATTCCGCACTAGCGTGCGGGCGAGTTCCAGGCGTCTGTTTCCTTCGTCAAAACCGTCGTTTCGGTCGGGCTGGTGTGGGCTGAATCCGAACAGCCCCTTAGGGAACATATAGTTCAGTTTGAAGAGTTCATCATGAAAACATAGTACTGCTGGTATTGGTTCTGGAGCAGTCAATTTTTTGAATACTTCTATTATTTCTACTGGGTATGATATGTATTAAATAGCATGTAAAAGTTTGAAATTCTAATGGGATGCAGAAGTATCTTGGTATACTGCTGTCATCAAAGAGAAAAAAAATTAGTGCAATCTTTTAGTATTACTTCTTCGTCTGTTTGTGGTGTCTGGCATGCAGTTCACCTAAACTGCAAATAAATTACACTGGTACGTGGTATTGATCTCATATTCAAACTAACTTGGCATTAGGTTTATTAAATAACATCTAAAGTTTGAATTTGAAAAGAGAATGCATACAAAATATCTTATTTTATTGCCTTCATCAAAAGATAAAACTTCATTGCAATCTTGGTGATATTGTTTCTTCTGTATGTGTTGTCTGGTATGCACTTCACCTAGACTGCAAATAATTGGTACCGGAGTGGATGGTGCGATTGATCTGATAATGAAACCAACGTTTGTGTGAAGACTTCTAAATTTGGCATTTGATCTCTTGTAATTGCAGGTTGCCTACACATTTGATGCTGGGCCTAACGCTGTCCTAATAGCACGAAACCGCAAAACGGCCACCCTTCTCCTTCAGAGGCTCTTATACTGCTTCCCTCCACAAGAAAATGATTTGGACAGGTGTGTTTGATATTATCAAGAATAAACCCAGCATTTGTTTGTTCCTGGGTATTCTACAAATATGTATACATCTGACAAACATGACCATGATAGCTATATGGTTGGCGATAAATCAATCCTAAGTGACGCCGGAGTGCAGTCCGTAGCTGACATCGAGGCCCTTCCACAGCCACCAGAGATGAAGACACCAAACCAAAAATTCAAGGGCGACGTTAGCTACTTCATCTGCAGCAGGCCTGGGGCTGGCCCAAAAGTTCTTACCGACTAGAGCCACACATTGATTGATTCAGCCACGGGGCTTGCAAAAGGAGTGTAATTTTGGATGAAGATGACTGGTTTGATACATGTAACATTGGTTCGTGTGTTGAGATCATCTCTACTCCTAATGGAGCAGTTGGTAGTCTCCGCCGGTCAATTTTCGTCCCACCACTTTCGTCCGATTTTTTTCGTAGGTTAACCTTGGTAGATTTTTTTTCGTCCTCGATCCCACCTTACGGTTCCAAAAAAACCAACCAAAACCAACTGAGCCCCGTCCCATGAAACGAAACCAGAGGAACGAGGCCCCCTCGACTCCTCTCAATCTGTTTCCTAGGGACTGAACGCCGCCGCCGCCGCCGATCCCATCTTCCCTGGCGACATGCCTCGCCGGCTGCCTCCTCTCCCCCATCCATGCCGGCGACCTCCTTCTACCCGCCCTCTCCGTCAACCCGTCTCTCCAGCAGCTCGGGCGAAACCCTAGCCCACCCGATGCCACGGTGACCTAGCAGGCAGGAACGAGGAGCCCTGCCCAGCCATGGCGACACCGCCGGTGGCCTCCTCCTCCCCCTCACCTTCTCTCCCTCTCCCAAGGGAGGGAAGGGAATGGAAGGGATCCGGCGGCAAGGGAAGGCAGCGCCCAGATTCGCAACCGCACCGGCGGGCCGCCATACCTCGAGGTCGTCCATGGAGGTCCGAACGTGATACAGGCTTGAGGCCACGCCAACAAGATAGGTACGTCGCCGCGCCCTCGACATATTCCCACTCCCGTGCACGTATGGTCAATCATGTATCGCTTATCTTGCCCCATACGGCCTTGGCAAATCTCAATGCTTGCTTGCTAATGTGCGTGTGTGGACGTTGCCGGTTGCTGCTGCTGTGCACGTGTGCTTGGTGTAGCCCTGTTGTTTTGTGTTCTCACCACCACATCCACGACAAATAAAATTTCTTAGTTTTCTTAGGATCATGTGTGCCATGATCTTCATGCCTGGCAGGGTTTACATGACGCCTGTGGACAACAGGATTTTGATGTCCAGTTAAACTATCATATGGTTGTGCATATGCACTATCTATTAAACTGACAATCCTTGTTTTTCAGGTTCAGGTTCGATATGTTCAGGGCTGAAGTACGCTCCTGAGTTAAAGAAAGACCTTGAGAAACTCTTAGTGTGTTTTTGTCGGTACTACTCCAATACTTTGGTGTGGGGTTGCATAGTACTCCAATAATTTAGTGTGGGGTAGTAAAAAATGTATTCGTGGTGGGAAAGCATCAGTGGTTCGTATTTGCAGAATAGGGAAATCAATAAATATTACCATTAAGAAAGCATGCATGGTATAGTGAATACTTAGTATACCAGTCATATTTTCTTGTCAACATGCACCTATTTGGAGGCTTATTCGATATTATTGCAATCTGGTAGAACTGTGTTACTACTAAGAATTGAATATTTTTAGTTGGAATACTATTTTAATGATCAATCACAATGTTGGACGCGACCAACTATTTATTCCCAAGACTTTAAGTCTTGGGTGGCTTAAGCACAATATGCCAGGCATATATTCTACATCTGTGGCATGTAATGACCCTACTGGCATTTCAAGAGGTCTTGTAAATACAACACTAAGTGTTCACCTCGTGAGATTTATTAAATGTTTTAGATATCTCGCTTGTGGATGCTCATCGGTAGCTAATATCCTGAGTATATTGATAACATGTTTAGGTCTGGACGGTTATTGAGCCTGCATTGATGAAATAGTTGACAAAGAAGCAACTGAAATGAGGTTATTGAGCTTGCATTGAAGAATCTTGGTTGATGAGCTGATATCTGACCAAAAACTCAAGAACTAGAAGCAAGCCTGTCATCCTTTTTTTGTAATCGGTATGTTCTCGGTAGCAAGCCTGTCATCCTTTTCTATCCACATGAGGCTTACTGTTTTTTGTACTTGTTGCCACCAATCAATAAAACATTGTGTATTCATTGCATATGGTGAATGGCCTTCTAGATTTGTAAGTTCATAGGTAGTTATACAACAGCAGAGCCATGTTCTAAAAACAGATTCGAGCCTTTCCTTGGTTTGGAGTTGGGCCCCGACGAAACGTTCGAGCGCATGAAATCAGTTCTTTTCAAGAATGCAACTGCTTTTTTTCTCTCATAGTTTCCACCCGTAACATATCACAAGTATCTTCAGTCTAAGAAAATAAGAAAAGTGAACTTACATGATTTTTTTAAATTACTAAATAACTTACTAGATAATGTATATTTCCGTTTGAGCATTCCAAAAACTGAATGACACTCCATTAAGCTGTAGGATGCATAAGGTAAGGGAAATATAGGAAGCCAAGACATCTGTAGTAATACCAGAAGTGGAAGAACAAGGGCAAGAAAATATTTAAAAGGGCCAATGATAGGCGGAAAAAGATTCACGTGGTTAATAGTTCATGTTTTACACCAAGGAAGAACAGAGGAATGGAACCAAAGAGAAATGAGTGAACATACGCCTTTGCTAGATTTTATGAACTGGACTAATGTACAAAAACACATATTGTCATCTTGGTGCATGTAGATATTTAATTTAACAACTTGAATTCCACATGAAGCGTACTGTACTGGACTTCTTTGGGCTTTACATGTGCTCATATTCCATAATTCGGATCAGAAATGAAGCCTATGCGTATGTATAAAGCATTTGCATTATACTAATATTGTGTGTGTTGTTTTTAATGCCAAAGGTAAATCTAAACCTGCTCAGACCACGGGGAGGATTTCTCTGGTGGACTATCGCTTGCAAGGTTGGCATGGGAGTAGGCCCGTACCATGGGTTCGTGTAGCTGGAGGACCGTGGCCAGTGCTGCGATTGCCTAATGTCCATGTGGAGCATAGCTCGGCATGAGGTGATATCCTTTTATGATAACCTAACTATACACAATTTCTTCAAAGAAAATTAAGATTGATATCAAACTTGAGATTTGCAATGTATTTAAATTAGTTCTTAAATTGCTCCAAAGCTACTGAAATCTCCCTTATTATATTTTTCTGTAGATACTGATTGTTCTAAATTAAACTCACTACTTAAATTCCATAGAAATGAGAGGCTCAAGGAAGCAACAAGTAGGATGAAGGAGTTAACGGGCAGAAGCGTAGATCACAGAAAAACAAGAATATGTTTGCTCCCCATGCTTTGCATTGATGTATAGGTTCGGAAGTTTAAAAGCTTCATGCGCTCCCCATGCTTTGTATTGATGTATAGGTATGGAATTTAGAAGCTTCATGCTTTGTATCTCAGTATGTTCACAGTGGCTTCAATCTAGAATTTAAAAAGGTGAATATTGGTTGGATCATGACACAAGTGATGTGGCTTCAGTCATGTTTCTTAAGCTACCGTGGTTATATCATCACTAGGCCATATAGCTTACCAATAACCTTCTTAAGTACTTCCACTGAACCATCTTGATTGCCGACTAATTTTTGTGTTCATGGTTATATTTCAGAGAACCGGTTCAAAGAAATGTGAACACTGGTTGGGGGTTCTAAGAAGGATGACCCTAAATGGGAGCATGACAGACACCGTGGTCCAAGAAATAAGGGGGAATCCCGTGGTGTCTACTATGCTTTCAGAAATCCTATGCAGTCAGGGAGATTCCTTCAGATTTTTGCATGATGAGCAGGTAGTTATAAAGGGTCGTGGTGTCTACTATGCTTATCAAAAAAGTGAGTGCATTTGTGAAGCTTCCTGCAGAGTTTCACATGATGAGTAGGTAAATGTGCTGCTTGTGCATTTACCAATTAGTTATATAGGAGAGCACACAAGCAACAGACCACACATCTTGTGCTAATTTCCATGATAAGTTTTAGCGCATATGAACAAGTTATAGTGCCAGTTAAGTTATGAATAGAAATTGAGTTGCTTATCATTGAGTAAAAGACGTTCCTTTAGAGTATTTATAGTTTTATACTAATACTTTATCAAGGTGATATGCTGAAGATTTGTGATTACCATAGTATGGCCTTTACATTGCTTCTGTATGATCTGACCTGTTGAGCTCATCACAAAGACCATAAAAATTGGCTCTGTCCCTGATGTCCAATAAAAAAGGGGAACTATAGCCTCAGATCGAAAAAGTTTCTTTTCCTATGTGATTTTGCAGCGGGACTTGCTTATGGAGACTTTCGCTCTGGGTCAAAGCTTAAGAGGACTGATGCTTTTGACCATTTAATTAGTGTTTAGGTATGCCCTCCTCTCCTTGCCCTTCAACTGGAATCTCTGATAAGGTTGTAATTTGCTGGTGCAGTGTTGCTCTGCTTTTATTTGGGGATTTCTCTGGGGTCTAATTTTGAACTGTCAAAACTGGTTTGTTGGGTGCCGGTTGGTTTAACATGATGCTATAATGCCGTAGAGAGAGATATGTTTTTCCAGTAGAAGTGGCCGGTTAGTTAATTTGAGATTTGTGCCTTTTGTTCTTCAGGCCGACAGTTAAAAGTTGCATTGGCTTGTAAAAAACTTCATGTGACTGGACCAGTAGGGGGAGGATAGCTTCATATGGAAAATAATTCTCCATGGTGGGAAAATTTGTTATTTGACATGATTATATACAGAGATACAACTAGTAGTGTTTAAATATGGGTTCATCTCAACCTATGATTCCTATGTATATAATTTTTGGGGCTAGAACTGCGGCCACTGCCCACCACCATTACAAGTCAATGATAGGAGCTCCTTGGATGTACTCATGCATGCTTTGTCAGATCCTTTTCTTTTGAATCGATTGATGAACCGATGGCATCTCAGGACTAACTACCCCGTACGTGTACTCCACTAACTAAGGATAGCTCGTGAATATTTCAGCCTTTTTGTCGAAACGCTAACCAAAATCACTGAAATTCACTAAATTTAGGTGGTTTCGGTTGGTGATGAAAATTTTCTGAAATTGAAAGTGAAAACCATAGAATACTGAAGGTGTTTGCAGCCTGTAATTAGCGCCCTACTTAGCATCTTTTAATACTGAAAGTGAAA